GTATCATACACATTTTGCTATGAACTTCAAGAAATTCCGTTTTTCTGCAAGGATTGTGTGGTATTTGATTGACCGTGACAGGAATCATTTGGAGAGTTTTCTTCACAACTCCAACAGTAGATTTGTGCAACATGCATGCTATCAACTTCGTGAGTATGTTCAGGCGCGTGTTGCAGTTTCTGATCCCTTGTATGAGATGATCAAGAAGGAAGAGTTTGAACGCCAATACAATTCCAAGTTTTTGGAGGCGATTTCTTGCTCTCGTGTTGTAGTTGAGCCTGTAAGTTCAGGGACGTATGAGCCATCATCGAAGCTGAACTTAAAGGTACTACAAGACATCCTGAAGGGTATCTTCAAGATCCAGAAGGATGAGGAGCTTGCCAAGGAACGTGATGAAGAAGAAGAACAGGCAGCTCAAAACATCTCATACCTGTTGGCAGATGATATGGAGCTTGATTTTGATGATGATGATGTTCCAGTATGGCGCTCCATTGTCGACAAGTACAGAGGAGGTGATCAGATGCTACAGGGAGAAGCTGTGAAGATTACTCACCTGTTCAGGGATCAAAAGGACAATGAGAAGGCGACAGAAGCTTTCAGTTCAGAGAGGACAGATTTTTATGAGACCTCAGGACCTCTTCCAAGAACCGAGGGAGAAAATCTTGTAGAGGACTTGCTCACCAAGGATGTTGCAGAACAAGCTTTTGAAGCAGGTGAAGAAGTTCCTCCTTATACAAGAGTCTCCACTATCACTGGTGAAGTCTATACTGGAAGTAGAACACTTCTAGAAGATGAGAATATGGAAGAGGAAGTTCCTGAAGAAGATCCTGCAGTTGAACCTGGAAAGGAAGAAGAAATATTTGATGAAGATGCAGGTGTTTTTCCTTCAGAGGAACCAAAGATGGAAGTTGACCAGGAGGAAGCCAAGGAAGAGTCAACACCACACTTTCTGTCAAGAGAGATAGGTGAGGACTCGACTGCATCGCACTTACCATCAGGTGAGATGGATGCTAACCTTGATGATACTTCAGGTCAGCGGAAATCTGAGAAAAGCCGCCTGAATAAGATTCCTGATCCTCATTTTCATGAAGAAGTTCAGGATGATGCAACCATGGAAGAGAAGAAAGAGGCGGTGGAGAAAATAAAAGAGGTCAGAGAGGATGATGGAGAGAAGAAATTGGAGGCTGAAATCCAAGAATCTTTTCCATCTGAAGTAGTTGTTGAAAAGGATACAACAAAAGCTGACGATACCTATGAATTGCATACTTCACCTTTGAAGTTGCTTGGAGAGCTTACAGGAGACCCAGGTATTGGCTTTTATCAACTACGCTTCAGGGAAACTCATGCAAGATTGCTGAATCATGTTTGTTTCAGAAAAGGTGAGATTTCCCATCCTCATTATCAGTCAAGGATCAACGAGAATGATTTTGTTCGATCCATTCGCAATATCTGTCCAGTACCTCCACCTGATTGTTATGAACATGAACCAGAGCATGACTTGAAGAGATTTTTCATCAATGATGACCGCATCATTTATTTGGATGGCAGGTATCAGGTCGATCCAAAGGCCCTTGGAAGGGCAGGTCATGCTCGAGAAGAATTGGAGGATACGAAGAAGGAACTCAAGAAGGAACTGGAATCATATGGTCCCAAGGGACCCAGTTGGGACTTTGTCACCTTCTATGAAGAGCTGTGCAGAAGGTTCCTCAAGGGAAGAATAGAAGAACCATATGGAACTAATTTATTGGCCAGCTCAGAGTCCTTGACATTTTTATCCTGGAACTATGGCAACATGGTTCGTGGTCAGAAGTACACCACACCAAGGTTTCTCCAAGGACTTGATAGTGCAATGAGGCCACGCAAACAGAGCGCCATGTCACTTCAGAATGAGCAATTTGAGAACAACCTTTTCTTCAACATGCTCTTCTTTTTACGTGCACATGTCGTGATTCTCCAGGAAGCTCATCTTCTTGTTCCTGCCAAGGAATTTATTGAGCAAAAGAATTGGACAGTTTGTTTCAATGATTGGGAGAATCTTGCAGTGATGGCTAGATTGGCACCAGGTGGATATGTCAAGATCATTGCTGGACATGACCAAGATCTTGGTCATTGTGAACAGCGTGATGTAACTTGGGCTATCTACGAGATTTGTTTTGGAGAAACAAGGCCTCGTCAAGATTTCAAGGATGCAGACTTTGAATTTGATGACTATGGTCCTGAGGACAAGCGTGTTCCACTTACTCGAGCGAACATGCATACCATCAGAGTCTGTAATTATCATGTTGATACACACCGTGCTGTGGATGCCCACCTACTGACAGGAGAACAGACAGCATTGATGCTTTACGAGTGTTTTGTCTATGAGGTGGACATCATTTCTGGTGATGCAAATAGTTTGGCCTACAGAATGTCTGGGTACAAAAGGCAGCCAATGGCTAACTACTATTACAGCACCATGCAGCATTGGATCCGCAGGTTTTCAGAAGCCCGTGTAAAAGCAGATCCTGGTATCAAAGCACCTATTCCCAGAACTTTTTACAGTTCAACTTCACAGGTCCTCAAGAAGTGTGAAGATTACTTTGACAAACTCTGGGAAGAATATTCTACTGTTGAAAAAGAAGAATACCAAGGATCACAGCTTGGCGATACATGTTTGTCTACCATTGTTGAATGGGGTCATTCAATGAGTGAAGAGGAATATGAAAATTCCACAGTGAGCACGAAGGAGTTCATCTGTAATTTTTCAGAGAACTTTGCTATGATTGACACAGAGGTTATGTGCTCAAGGCCCACTGACGAGGACAGTCATGGTCCAATGTTTATTTCACTCAGACCAGCTTCCTTTTCATCTGGAGACAGAAGACAGTACCGCATGGGACCAACTCTTCATGAGGCTAACTTGCGGAGGAAGGAGAGACAGAAGCAGAATAAAAGGAAAGGAAGGCCGCCAACTTCTGATCAAGCAGCTTCATCGTCTGCAGCGGCATAATTCCTGAGCGAAGGCTGAAATTTAAATGATGGCTAGGAAGTGAAGATACTTCTGGTTACAGTTGATACTTTGCTTCCAGGCTTGACTTTAAGTTGCCAGGCTGAAGTTTTAATAATTTCTGGTTTGCAATGAGGAGAAACTTTTTATCAAAGAAGATACTCCTGCATTCCAGGTTTATACGCTTTAGCATGTAGATAGGTATGGACAGTTTTGCATAACTGATGATATCTATCACAGCCGCTTTTTCTGAGATGACCTCTAATGGACAACCATTCATGGTTGATGATTAAGTCATTTCATAAGTCTGCATTTGTAGTGCAAGTTTTGTACATACATTTGCCGGTATCTCCTTCTTGTGTTTTTGATGTGAATGTGAAAGAGAGTCCTTTTGATGCAGTTTATTTTGTCTGTGAATGAAAGCGGTCGAGACCACGTCACGAGAAGATTATTCCTCGGACCGTACGCTCCTTGCATTTTGCAAGGCATCTTAATTCATTGCATTGTGCGGTCTTGAATTTTTAGTTCTTTGTTACGCGAGTGTCGTTTGATTCTTTTATAGGTCTCTGTAGAGAAAAAGCCGCTTTCCCTTTTAGTTTGATTTAGCTCAGGCCATAAAGAGCTAGTGAGCGCCGGTACATGGTATCTTCGCCTGCGAAAAGTACAGTCTCCAGCCGAGGTACATTATCGATTTGATTTTGTACTTGAGGTGAGTCAGCTATTGCTCCCTCACTGTATTTAGTAGCTATGAGATTACCTTCTCTGAAGTGTGAAACACACTGGATTAGGTAAGTACATGGCACCGTAGTTTTCTTTTAAGTTGTCAGAGCTAGCTGGACTGATTTAGCCTTGCAGTAGAAAAAGAGTATGCGACATACGCAATCAGCTAGAAGTGGACATGAATCTTGTGCCTGCTGAAAAGTAGAGCCTACCTGTACAGGGTTCCACTCCAACAGCTGATATAGTGTGTCCATGCTTGACTGAAGAGATATAGGATAAGACTCTGCGTGAGTAAAAGACACTAGCGGTCTGCACCTCTACCGTGTACGCCCTAGTCACTCTTTCACCCCCCTCCCCCCCTCTAAAATCAATTCTCTCCTGGAGAACGTCTTCGTGAGCCTCTCATGATTTCAGGATAGTTGAAACCCTCTTGAACATTCAGAAAGAGTGAATATGAAATTCAAATCACGAAAGGTGTTCCCCGAGGGGATACATACCTAGAGTTTGTTTTGTGAAGCACGTCAATTCTGAGCCTTTTATGGTTTCAGGATAGTTCAAATCCTATGATGTTCCGATTCAATGCTCACCGATGATCTGAGCCATGGGGCAAGTTTGTTTCCTAAGAATCTTTTTGAACATTTCGAGAGCATATGTTTGAACATTTAGAGTGCATATGAACATATATTTACGAAAAGGTCGCCTCCGAGGGGATAAATCACCATGTCGAACATTGCATTTTTGTTCCTGCCTCTCGCGTTCTCTTCTCTTCCCGCTGTCCTACCTTTCGTGTCTCCCTCCTCTCAAGTAAGCATGATTTAAACCCGAAGCAATACAAGGGTACCTCGTTGAGGCAGCAAGAGAGCTAAGCCTGCACAGAGATAGAGGGAGAGAGAGAGAGAACAAACAACAACAACAACAACAACACCAACAGCAACAGCAACAGCACCAGCAGCAGCAGCAACAACAGCAACAACAGCAACAACAGCAACAACAACAGCAGCAGCAACAGCAGCAACAGCAGCAGCAGCAACAACAGCAACAACAGCAACAAGAGCAACAAGAGCAAAACAACAACACCAACAGCAGCAACAGCAACAGCAGCAACAACAGCAAGAACAGCAACAATAGCAACAACAGCAAGAGCAGGAAGAACAACAACAACAAGATTAATAATAGCAACAACAACAACAAGAATAAGAATAACAACAAAAAACAAAAACAACAACAATAGCAACAACAACAACAACCACAACCACAACCACAACCACAACGACGACAAAAACAACAACAACAACAACAACAACAACAACAACAACAACAACAACAACAACAACAACAACAACAACAACAACAAGTACTTGCAGAAAAAAAACATGTTTTCAACAATAGATGGTTCCCACAGTTGGTTTGCACAAGTGCAATTGCCCTCGACGATCGAAGGCACCGGAAAGAACTGGGTCATTGGCTTTTCGTTTGTGTAAATCATGTAAAGAATGTGATATGTTCATCTGGCCAATGCGACACCATCACCATCATCACCATCAACTATGGCCCATCAACTGGTGCAACCAGCTTTTTCAGGGCGTTCTGAACCTGCGCGACGAATTACACAAACAAGCCGAGGCCATGGCAGAAGGTGATTTGCCTCAAAGAGTTCAGCCTTCGTGAGCGAAGCTTGGCGCTGGCCCTGTGTTGCACAGGGCGAAGCTTGGCGGTGTTTTCTTTTCGGCGACTTTTGGATGCTGCTTTTCTTTGCTGTGCAAAAAGAGATGGGCTCGTTTAATACCTCGGACACCTTGTTCACAGGGGCTCTTGCACCAGGATGGTTCTACATCTACTAATCCACAGTCAACATGAATTACTGTGAGCTTTGGAAGCGCCAGGGCCGGAGCTGAGTTGTTTTGTTATTTACCGGGATGCCCGGTCCAGTCGGGTGCATACTGCTTGTCCGATCCGTGTATCCCCAACGACTGTCCGAAACCCAGTCAGGCACAGCAAAAGCATTCAATCTTTGTGGACCTGAAAACAGGGAGGCTTAGGTCCCAGGAGCACCGCATGGTGGGGGAACAAACTGGAGGAGGCCACTGGAGGCCACGGACCCGGCTGCTGCTGCTGCTTTGGTGTGACTGGATTCGTATCGAGCTTCGCATCTTTCCTCTTTTTTTGCTTCTTGGCTTACTGGTGCTGCAGCTTTGGTGTTGGATTTGCTTGCCCCCCCTTTTCTAAAGTCAATCTTCTTGTTGGTCTCGGCCGATCCCTTTCCTCAACGCGTTCCGTGCTGAACGCTTCCGGCACGGCGGCGCCGTTTTCAGCTCGAACAGCAGCTATTGATCGCCGGAACAGCGAATTGGCCAATAGAAGCAGATAAACTGGCGGGACACCCACAATAAGTACAGGAACATCATCCAGTTTGTTTGACGGCTTCCATGCTTAGCTCAACAATCACAGGCAGTGGCGATGTGGGACATGTGTGAACCACATTGTTACTTCTGAAACTCGAACAGCAAGAATTCACGGGTGGTGGCTGACATGACCATGTGGCACCTGCCTTTGGTGGCTGCACACATATGTCGGCGTATCCTTGCTGCACTTATTTTACCCCGTTCTTGAGCATGAGTTCTTTAACGTAGATTTTGGTGGACATTGAGACTAGTTATACTGACTCCAAGAGAGATGGGAGTAGTCGGACGATCTTGATATTTTATTCTCCTATCTCATGTGCTCTGTGCATATTTGGGCAATGTGATTTTTGTTTTCCTATCTCATGTGTGCAATCTGAATTGGTGGACCATATAGTCCTATCTCAGCAGCAAAGCCAAAGCAAACAGACCTGATTTTATATTTGTTGTTGCAGCGAGTTTGCCCATGCCCACAAGCTCCCGACTCATGTGCTTTTTGGACTATTGTTTAGGCCTGGACATGCCTGGACACACCGTCGCGTGAAGGGCCGTAACATCCTGTCTCATTTGCTAAAGCTGATGTGCATGAATTTATTTGTCCATAAGGTCCTGTCTCATCTGCATGTCCCTTTTCTAAAAAACGACCATAGGGTCCCGTCTCACCTGAGGGTAGTATAAATTGGGTGTGCAGATGCTGTTCCTGGACAGATGCATGTCCTCACCGCATGCTAGCCGAGGCAAACTCCGGTTTGTTGCAGGCCGCCCCTCGTTGGCAACTGAAGTGCACGCAGCGCCCTGGATTGTAAACATGTTTCCTTTGCAAAACCGTTCATGCACTTTTGCCAATTCCCTTTTTCGTGGGTTGACATGATCGAAGCGTCGGTTGTTACTGGGAGTCCAACACTGATAATTCTACCATTCATCAACGGATTGAAGCTTCTTGGATTCGTTCATGGCATTTGATGGTGACATGCTTCATCACACCGCACCATTCATTCTCACACTTTCTTTCGGAGCATTGCTAAGGACATTCCTTGACACCTAGAGTGCGACATTGATGGAATTTTGGAATTGACGAGTCTGAGCTCACTTCGGATGTGCCCGGATCAGAACTTTTGCAACTTTTGAGCAAATTGTGTGAAACTACTGCGGATTTTCCTATTGAGAAATCTTATTGGCATTTCCCGGTGGCTACACCTTTATGGCATTTGATGGTGACATGCTTCATCACACCGCACCATTCATTCTCACACTTTTCTTTCGGAGCATTGCTAAGGACATTCCTTGACACCGCAGAGTGCAACATTGATGGATTTTGGAATTGACCAGTCTGAGCTCACTTCGGATGTGCCCGGATCAGAACTTTTGTAACTTTTGAACAAATTGTGTGAAACTACTGCGGATTTTCCTATTGAGAAATCTTATTGGCATTTCCCGGTGGCTACACCTTTCTGGTCGAATTATAGCGACCTCACCCGACGTCACCCCGAAATTACGACCTAACATTTGGAAATAAGGGACTATACTGGGTGAGGTTGCTAAATGGTCCCTTCAGGCACCATCTCTCTCTCTCTCCCCCCTCCCGCACACCAAACACCTCTGCGGCTTGCTGGCGCCACCTTTGCTGGAAGGCGCGGTGGGACCTGGGCTCGGCTGCCTAGTGTCTAACTGGGTCCAGCCAGGGAGTTGGCTCCCATCTGTTTTTTTTTGCGGGGAAGTGTCTTCCTGACCTTCCTGCTTTGGGAGTCTTCGCGTGTTGCACTGACATGGCGCTGGGCGAGTGCATTGCCGAAGAAAAACTTTCTAGGCCACGAAAAGTTGGTTTTGACTTCTGGGCAACGACTGCAAAGAAACACAGCCTAGAATAAGACAGCGCCAGGGAGGATTTGTGCCTAGGACACTGAACAGTTTGTTTCCGTTTAGGTCCACTTGGTCCGAGGTTTCGGGCTACCGAACGCGCTCTGTTTTTGTGTTGGGTCACTGGAATGTTCTGAAAGTGGCCCTCCCCCCCCCCCAAAAAAAAAAAACAACTTTTTGGACCCTGAAAAGTTTTATTCCGCTTTGGCCAGGTTGGGGCCACAGGTTTCGACACAGTGGCAGCAACCAGACACCAAACACTGAGTGATCTCTGTGTATTGGATCTCACTCTCTCTCTCTTTCTATTGTTAATGGTTTGGCACTAGTGGAACACCTGGAGAACCAAGGGTGGACATCCTGAGTTCCAACTGATGGTTTTGCTCTCGGCAGGCCTTCATCTCCGCCGCTGCGCTCCAGCCACGCCGTGGGCCGCGGCGAACCCCACGACCTCACATAATATGTTTTATTTCAACGACCTAACCCTTAATTCAATTTGGAAATACTAAATTACGACCCAACGACCTACGAAATATTGTAATTCAACCAGACCTTTCGCTTACAAGAAGGAACTAAGTCCCAAGACCACATGCATCGAACTGTTAAGAAGGCTCAGCTTGGTTCCTTCCAGACTCCAAGAAAGCATGATTCAAAGGCCAATGGAAGGGTAGTGCACAGAAAGGGTTTTGCAAAAACCTATTCTACTAACTTCGTGGAAGGCGCGTGACCTTCGTAGAACCCAAGGCTGTTCGTGGACAGTTCGTGGAATGGTGGGCCAGTAGGAGAACTGACTGCAACGAAAGTCTTGCAAAAGGAACTTGCAAAAGAAGAGCCCGTTATATAGAACGATAGGTATTGAACAAGGTTCACTTTGGTTTTTCCAAAACTTTGGAGGCCAGGGTAGTTGGATGCTAATTCTGCCACATGCTACTCTCCATTCGCCACTCCACAGTATTTTTCCGCGATGGGTTAGCCAAAGGCGGTAGCAACAGCCTTTGGGGTAGCCGACAGGGGTTAGCCAAATCTTGTGGTTCCAGCCGACCAAGCTCCTGCATCATTCTCAAGTAAGTTTTAGTTTAAGTGAGAGACTGTTTGCCAATACGGATGCGTTCGACTGCAGATCAACTTTGGCTCGCCAAAAGCTTTTCTCCCTGCAAAAGACTAAGTGACTAAGTCGCGCCAACTGGTTTGGATGGCCGGGCTTGTTCTTGTGAACCTTAATCG